GAGCTAGAATGACAAGAACGAGCTAAAAACAACGAGCTAGAACAAGAACGAACAAGCTAGAACGATCAGCTATCAGTCTTAGAACGGCAAGAACGAGCTAGAACGACAAGAGCGAGCTAGAACGAGCTAGAAACAACGAGCTAGAACAAGAGCGAACAAGCTAGAACGATCAGCTATCAGTCTTAGAACGACAAGAACGAGCTAGAAACAACGAGCTAGAACAAGCTAGAACAAGAACGAACAAGCTAGAACGATCAGCTATCAATCTTTTTAAGCATTTCCCCAAATCGATCCCATATTGAAACAGTTTCCCAGTGATAATTTGTAAAGTAAAAAAAGAGAAAAACAGCGAGCTCCGGCTTTACAAGCTCACTTTTTCAAACACAAATCAACCACCCATTTGACAGCAATTGAGTTCTTTCTTCTTTCAAACTTTCAATTCTTTTTTTTTCTCATTTCAATTACAGTATCAATTTTCTTTTCTCTAATTTTCCCACGTCCTTGACAATCATTCAAAAACGTTGTATGAGAAAGTAAACATTGAAATAAATCGCTTAAAACTCTCGCAAACTCTCGCAAAAATTAGGTCAAAACTTTCAGCTCAACCTTGAAGTGGAGAAAGAAATGAAGAAATCTTCTATTTGGTTATGATTAGTGCTTTTTTATGTATGAGAAGGTTACAACGAGTTCTTGAATCCATTTACAGTATAGCCAAGCCTAGCTATAGTAACTAAACCTAGTAGCCTAGCCTAAACCTAGCCATGGTAGACCCAGACTTAGCTATAGTAGCCTAGACCTAGTCATGATAGACCCAGACTTAGCTACAATAGCCTAGACCTAGCTACGGTATACTCAATAGTTGCAGTATAGTCAGATATGTCCAATAGCTACAGTAAACCCTAAACCAAACTAAAAGCTGGACACAGTATACTTTGACACGAAACCCTTTGGAACCAACTCCAAGAGATTTCCCGAATCTCGCTGTACTTAACTCCCTCTGGAGGCAAGGAGATCCAGTGCGTTGTGGTCTAATGGTTAGCTCGGCTGTCCCTTGAGCGAAAGATCTCTGGTTCTGCTCCCAGCCGCACAGAAGTTTTTGATCTGCCGAGTTCCAACTCTGTATGACGTGCTCTGAAGGTCACCAATTGTGTTACAGGTGAAAACAAAAGAAAACTTTTTTCTATTCTCATTCTTTGCAGGTCCAAGTGTCCATACAGGTGATGATGGGTTTTTTGAGGAGAAAAATGAGATCCCAAGGTTGAACACTCACTCGATTGCAAGGTCGAGATGGGGCATTGGCAAAGAGAATTGAACAAGACACTCAATTATTCTCACACCTCATTTCAAAGAGAATAACCCATTGTTGTCACCTTGGGATCGCTGTTTGGCAGGATTGAGCAGGATTTTAAACAAGATTGAACAGGATTTTATCAATGATTGACGATCAAATTAATATTTAAAGCTTTCTTTAATCTTATTCATAAATAATTCTTTGTTTTTAACATATCTAGATAACACAAATCTTTTGTATAGTTTAAGAAAGGTTTAGAACGATTTCTGATTGATTTAAGGCTGGATTTAAGTCTGGATTTAAGTCTGGATAAGGCTGGATAAGGCTGGATTTAAGTCTGGATAAGGCTGGATAAGGCTGGATTTAAATCTGGATTTAAGTCTGGATTTAAGTTCAGCTTTGACTCTCGATTAGTATCTTAATCTTACACGAATTGTTGAATTCCATTTTCTTTTTACTTAAAATACACTTGACCCTTTCTTGAATTCTTCAAATTATGCAATGCATCAAAGCCAATTCTTTCCTCCTTTTGATGTACATTGATGGAGTGAATCCCTCTTTCACTCTCACTTCTTCCCCTTTTTCATTCTTTCATTCGAGAATCCGGGGCACGGTCAATTGCTCATTATCCCTCATACCTGGCCTAGAATTTCGGGGAAAGAGAAAAGAGAACAAGAAAAAGTTGGTAGCGAGATGAACCGTTACTCTCATTCTTGAGGGACAACGGAGACAAGAGTTCAGGCTCTTTCTCGATGAGATTCGTTTCCTTTTCCCTTCACTATTCTGTTCGTTTTTTACATTTCATAACGAGATTCTGGCCTTGCTTGGCTTGACTTTTCACTGACATAAAGTCCTTGAACCGAGCTCTGAACTGATCTAAATGGTTGGAAAATTCTAGCAATCACACCATACCGTATCATCCACCAGCTAAGCAGCAAATCTTAAGCACGCTAAGCACAAGACCTAACCTATTCGATAGAAAAACAAACGCAAAATTCGAATCTGTAGTCAAAAACTGTTGAATAGGTCTTAAACGAAAGATTTCTGGCATAAAAGTTTTTCGTATAGAACGTATAGAACGTAAATAAGTCGAGTTTAATGAAAGAGACCTGTTCAGCGATAGTTTTGGTGTAGTGGATAGGGTGATTGTGAAGCCTATCGCTTTCTTTTGTAGTGAGTTCGAATCCCATGACAAACAATCAGCCAAACGAACAGGGGAAAAGACTTAGCACTCTTCCCTAATGAGTTCTAATCGGTTCTAATCGACTAAGTTAATCGAAATAATTTAGCTCGTCGATCCCCTGGCAAGCCAAACAATTTTTAGAACATGTTGCTCATTATTTCATTAAAACTCATACCTTTGTCTTTGTCTAAACTTTTCATACTAAACTTTTCATATTCTTCGCTTTTTTCCCCTTGTCTCATAGCTTTTCAACTTCATCCAATCCCTTTAGCTCGTCAAGCGTCCATTAATCCGTCAAGCAACACAATTTTTAGAACATCTTGTACATTGTTTTATTAAAACTCATAGCTCTATCTTTGTCTAGACTTTTCATACTGAACTTTTCATATTCTTTGCTTTGTCTCTTGTCTCATAGCTTTCCAACTTCATTTCCCGTTTATCCAACTTTATCCAACGTTTATCCAATCCCTTTAGCATTACATAATCGTCAAAGGAACGACTAGGAAATAAAAGAAGTGAAAAGAAAGAAGAAAGAAGAAAGAAGAAAGAAGAAAAAGAAAGAAAGAAGAAAGAAGAAAAGAAGAAAGAAGAAAGAAGAGTAAAGGAGGACAGTGAATTCATGCTCAAATCACTTTGAAAAGGATGGGAAAAGAGAGAGAGGGAAATGGGCGGAGTTGTGCCTCAATTTCACTCTTCTCCTTTTCCTTTCCTCTGTTCACTCGGATGCAAATTTGGGGCCGAACACTCTTCCCCTTCATCCTTTCATTCTCATTCTTTTTACAAGATGAGAAACTCCCGTAGTCCTTCTTCACCATTTCTTTCATTTTCCTACTATTGTTTTTGTCTAATTTTCAAGCTTTATTCCTTAAAACTAAAGAATAAAGTACGCTAGAAGCTAAACGTTTACGGTTACCGTATTGGAACCGTATTAGATCAAAAAAGAACCGTATTGGAACCGTATTAGATCAAAAAAGAACCGTATTAGAACCGTATTGGAACCGTATTAGATCAAAAAAGAACCGTATTAGAACCGTATTGGAACCGTATTAGATCAAAAAAGAACCGTATTGGAACCGTATTAGAACCGTATTAGATCAAAAAAGAACCGTATTGGAACCGTATTAGATCAAAAAAGAACCATATTAGAACCGTATTGGAACCGTATTGGAACCGTATTAGATCAAAAAAAGAACCGTATTGGAACCGTATTGGAACCGTATTAGATCAAAAAAAGAACCGTATTGGAACCGTATTGGAACGCAAAAGATGAACCCAAATAATTCTTTCTAAACAAAAGTGAGAAAAGTAAAGAATTCGATGCAATAGAAAGAATGCGTTTTTAGCAGAGAAAGAACAAACAATTCAAACAAACAATTATGGTTCATATCCGAATTCTATTCCATTTCTTTAATAGTTAAAAAATTTCTAAAACGATGTATATCTTTTTGATATTTGTTAGTTTTTTGTTACGATGTTACGAACGATATTTGTTAGTTTTTAAAAGATTGACCTAACCTTTTCCTTTTCTCAAAATACTAAATCGTTTTTCTTTTCTTTAGCTCCTTTACAGGATCAACTTTTCGACTGAGTCTTCTCCAATTCAACTCAAAAAAAAGTACTTCGATTTTCAACGAGTTACTAAACTAAACGACTTACAAAAATAGATAAACTTTTTAGTTTAAGAAACTTTTTTTAGTTTAAGAAAAAGAAAAGAAAAAGAAAAAGAAAAAGAAAGTTTAGTAACTTCTGTTATTTATCTTATAACTATTTTTATAATTTATTTCTTAAACTAAAAAGTTTAGCTATTTTGATATATAAAGGAAAGGATTTTGAAAAAATAAGGACGAGCAAAGGATAACATCATTAAACTTTAAGGATACTTGAAGGATACTTGAAGGATACTTTAAGGATACTTTAAGGTTACTTTAAGGTTACTTTAAGGCTACTTGAAGGATACTTGAAGGATACTTTAAGGATACTTGAAGGATACTTTAGGGTTACTTTAAGGATACTTTAAGGCTACTTTAAGGTTACTTTAAGGTTACTTTAAGGTTACTTTAAGGATACTTTAAGGATACTTTAAGTATGGACTTTAAGGATAACATCATTAAAGCCAGGTGTTCTCTAGGAATCTCTAGAAATTTTTTTCATTTTCTCATCAAAATCAACATGCAAATCTATTTCGCTTCAATGATTTTAATGACTATTTACAATCTTTTTCTAATTTTTCTTATAATTTTAAATTTAACATTGAGCTGGAGCTTTGATAGTCTGAGATTTGAAGATTTAACAAATTTTTGAGCTTTCCTTTTCAACTTCTCCTTTAAACTTCTGGCATGGCAAACTTCTGGCAAACTTCTAATAGCTTTTTACTTGTTCAATAGCTATTTTTCTATTCAATAGCTTTTTTTTCTTATCCATTTCTTTCTAAATCAGGTTTTAAACTTATCAACTTATTAATTTAGATCTACAACGCTAGACGGATTGTTTGATTCTAGACGAATCAGCGAAGCTTCTCAGATCAAGATGTGTTTAGCCGCTTGGCTCTTCCTCCTTCCCACAATCTTTGCATCAATTCAATTTGAAAACTCGTTAACAGGTAGAAAATATGTTCAAATATGATTTAGATATTGTACTTTGATAGATTGTGCTCTTATTTTATTAAAGATTACTTCTTTATCTAGAAATCTACTTCATTTTGCCAATTTCTTCACTTTTTTATCAAATTCTTCTCCAAAACTATAACAAAAATTTGTTTTTTAAGCTTTCAAAAGGGAAAACATCCTTTCTTTTCATTCATTTCTTCACTTCAACTCATCAAAATCTTAAGAGACCATGTTTAAGTGCAACAGAAAGGCAGTGTTTCTGAAACTTTCAAAGTACACTGAAATCCGATGCTATTTGGCCGCTTGTTTTGAATAAATCCAGAGCTGTAGCCAGCAAGTGAACCCTTTCTTTAGTGGAAGAATGGTCACTCTCGATTCCAATCATTGAATAGGCTACTCTCTTCCATTTGACCCCTCAAATATAGGCTCTCCTCAAGTGCCCCTTTGTAAGCCTATCGTCTAGGGGATCGACAATACCCAATCCATTTCACAACAATAGTCTCATCTCTACATTCTCTGTATCAATTCACTCACAAATGTTTGTACTGACTTATGAAATTTATGAAAAAGCTAAACAGTAAAAGATTAGAGTTAGATTTAAAAAATTGTTAGACTAAATAGGCTGGCAAAAGACAGTCAGGCAGGCAAAAGACAGCCAGGCAAAAGCCAACCAGGCAGAAATCAGCCAGTCAAAAGCCAACCAGGCAAAAGCTAGCCAGGCAAAAGACAGCCAGGCAAAAGCTAACCAGGCAAAAGACAGCCAGGCAAAAGCTAACCAGGCAAAAGACAGCCAGACAAAAGCTAACTAGGCAAAAGCTAACCAGGCAAAAGCCAACCAGGCGGAAATCAGCCAGTCAAAAGCCAACCAGTCAAAAGCCAGCCAGTCAAAAGCCAACATGGAATATTCCAACCCAAACCTAATTCCATCTTTGTTTTCTTGTCCAATTCCTCAGAAATTTTCTCTACAGATAGAAATTGGTATTTTCAGCTTTCAGCAAAATGAACTATAGGTTTATTGATGAATTTGTTATTTTTCAATAAAAGTATGAAAAGAAACAAAAGAGACTTTCTGAAAAGCTTAATAATTAAACTTTAAGGTGCTCCAAAGATTCATTGTGCCCACGGGGCGATCACTCTCGATGTCTCCACCGAGAAGCAGGCTCCATCATTCATTTTTGCCAAAAATCATTTCAACAAGGTGAAATCAATCGAAATTAACTTTTCTAAACAGTACTTTAACAAAAAAAATAGAATCAATTGACTCACAAATGTTTGTACTTATGAAATTTCTGAAAAAGCTAAACACTAAAAGATTAGATTTAGATTTAAAGGCTGTTTAGCCAGCCTATTTAGATTTAAAGACTGTTTAGCCAGTCTATTTAGATTTAAAGGCTGTTTAGCCAGTCTACTTAGATTTAAAGGCTGTTTAGCCAGTCTATTTAGTCAAATAGGCTGGCTAAATAGGCTAAATAGGCTGGCTAAATATGCTAAATAGGCTAAATAGGCTAAATAGCTAAATAGGCTAAATAGGCTAAAACTATAACATATCAAAATCATCTTTCCACACAAAACAAAGCCTAAGTCACTCAAAAATTTCAGGATGGTTGCTCGTTCCGAAACAGCACCCACGTCACTTTCAACTTTGATCACTGCAACGTCAATCGGAAAAGAGAGGTGAGAAAGAGCTCTTTGAAACAACTTTAATTTTTAAAAAACTTTCTACAGACTTCATTCCAAAGTCTGCATATAAATTTTCAAAGATTTCTACCCACATTAGCTGAAATTTTTGTCCTTGAACACCTCAATTTCATGCAATTTGCGAATTGCGAAAATGCAAAAATTGCTCACCCCATTTTCCCCTTCATTCAAAAAGCAAACCGTTTAACGACACAAATTCAAAAATTTAAGTCAAATTTCTTTTTGAAAAGAAGTGTAATACGCGTTTTTTTCAATTAAAGATTGGTGATTTAAAAAAAAAATGTTTTAATGAGCTAAAAATTTGATTAGAGATTTGATTAGAGATTTGACTAGAGATTTGATTAGAGATTTGACTAGAGATCTGACTAGAGATCTGACTAAAGATCTGACTAGAGATCTGACTAGAGATCTGACTAGAGATTTGACTAGAGATCTGACTAGAGATCTGACTAGAGATCTGACTAGAGATCTGACTAGAGATTTGGCTAGAGATTTCAGTTAAAGATTACTGATTTTTAAAGAAATGAAGGACGCAAAAACGCAAACTAAAAACACTATTAACCTAGTTTTTTCGGTAAAATTTATTGACTGAAAAAACTTTTGTGTTTTTTTTTTGAGTCACGCAATAAACTCTCAAATGTTTTCTCATAAAAACCTTGTGGTTTAGCTCGTAAAAGTGCTCAAGAATGAGAGCCGAGTGTTCCATAGAGGAAAAAAACACCTATCACAATTTTTTTTTGCTCCAGCCCACCCAGGCTGTATATGGGTGAGGTTCAAGGTTAGGTGGTGGTAACTGGGAGAACTCTAGGCATGAGTTTGAAGAGGATAAAGAGCTCTAGCTTTTAGGATAAAGGGTAAAGAGCTTTTATCGGAGACATTGATTGTAAACTATATTGTTGTTTTTTTTAGACTCTAAATAGTTGTCGGCTGGGTTCTCGAATGAATTTTTAAACGAAACCAAGCCACTTTCAGTTTTGAACGATCAGATTTCATCATCCGAATCAAATCAATTTGATTTCCCCCAGTCAAACACGGGAAACACGATCGTGTTTTTAATTTCTAAACGCTATAGATTTTTGTAAAAACGTAAAAGAAACTTAACCCCCATTGGACGGTCTCAAGGTATATAACAGCCGCCATCACTCGGACTAAGGTGAGACCGTGGCGGCAGTGGTGGTGCTAGTTTTTCGAGACGCGCCTCTCCCTCTGGCCACTCAGGTTCGACTCCCCTGCTTGCATTGGCTTTTCTACTTATCATTTTTCCATTTTTATTAAAATAATATTGATTTCCGTTGATTTTTGAGCATCTTAAAGATTTTCAAAACATTAAAGCAAAAAAAATGCAAAAATTGGCTTTGGTTTATTGGCTTGAAGGCTTTGGCTTGGCTTGCTCTGGATAGCCATCGATTTTAGCTCTAAGAATACCCGATTGTCGCTAATTTTTCATGGTTAAGGTATTGATTTTGAGATTTTAGTCATTTTCATTATTGGATAGTCTAATCTGTAGTGCTATCGGGTGAATAATCTATCAAGAAATTGAGAGTTGGCGCAGAAAATCTATGTGAATTTCCAGGTGCAACCAAAACGCGGCATGTCCTACTCGTTGACGGTGATGGTTCAACTACATCCACTCTTCATCACAAAGGTTCAATTAAGCTAAGAGAAATACTTTTATTCGTTTTACTTTGCTTAATAGAATAGTATCCGATTTCTGATAGGGTTTTGATAAAATGATTCTGTCAAGCTCGCGATGGTTAGATTTCACCTCACCCAGATGGAATGGTGGTGGAATGGTTAGATCGAAAATCGTTATATTGAGAGTTTACTTAAAGTATTGGGTTGGTGAATTGAAAACTTTGTCTTTGAACGGGGCTTTGAACGGGGCTTTGAACGGGACTTTGAACGGGGCTTTGAACGGGACTTTGAACGGGACTTTGAACGGGACTTTGAACGGGACTTTGAACGGGGCTTTGAACGGGACTTTGAACGGGACTTTGAACGGGGACTTTGAACGGGACTTTGAACGGGACTTTGAACGGGACTTTGAACGGGGCTTTGAACGGGACTTTGAACGGGACTTTGAACGGGGCTTTGAACGGGACTTTGAACGGGACTTTGAACTAAAATTTATTCAACATAAAACCATCAATTCATTCCAAATAATTTCCATTATTATTGACGACTTCTGCCCATAAAGAGTTACTATCTTTATCTAGTTTAGTTGAGGAAACTCTAGTCTATTTAGTGAGATGAAATATTAGGTTGGTGAATTGAAAACTGCGGAACTTTGAACTAAAATTTATTCAACATAAAACCCATAAATTCATTCCAAATAATTCCCATTATTATTGACGACTTCTGCCCATTTTACAGGCAATTTGCCGCTTCCTCTTTCGTGATAGGATTTTAGTTTTGAATCGAAAAACTTTCAAAGCCAATTTTTGACTGCTTCTTTAGGACTTCTGACTCCAATCAAAAAAAGCTAGAAGAATAATTTTTTCGCAATAATTAGAGGAAATGTTGAAGTAAACAAATCCCCCTTTCAGCTGGTTCTATGCTGTTGTTTTCTTTATCTGCGAGTCTCGCAAAATAGCCCGCAGTTTTCAATTCACCAATCCAATATTTTGTCAAATACTTGACCGAGAACATAATTATGAGTCATTATATCAAGCAAATCGCTTTATCGATAATAAATCTATTGCTTTACATAACAATAAGAGCACATACGTGCAGGGAACTAACTTTAAGAGATCATTCTCTAGAAATACTGACAATGGCCTCCAATGAATCAATTGACATATAAAAAGAGAATGACGAAAGGATTTAAAAAAACTAAGGACGAGCAAAGACTCTAAGGATAACCTCATCAAAACCAGGTGTTCTCTAAGAATCCTTTTTTCCGGTTATTCCCCTCTCGACCTACTCTCGTCTTTTCAATTCATCAAGTTTTTGCTAACTTTTTATATCCTTTCACTGTCATACAAATAATCGGGTACAGAATTTGGATAAGATTTAAACTTTAAACTCTAAGCTCTACCTACTAAAGGGAAATCCGAATCTTTTTCCTTTCCAGGTTGATCGAGCCTATCATGTGCACTGTTTTTATATGGAATCCGAGAAAGCTGTTGGAGCTGAGATGAGCGTTGGGTGAGTGATAGAAATGGGTTTAAATTTAAATTGGGTCTAAAGGATCAATCTTCAATTCAATTCAATCTTCAATTAAAAAAAACTTTAAAGAATTGTAATTATTGCAATCTAATTATTGCAATGATTAGCAATTTTGTTTTTTCTAGGATTCGACAAATTTAAATATTTCTTTATTTTTAGAGAACTGAACTCGACAAAGATCAGTCAAGAACTTCAGCCACCAATGTGTCAGTACACTTTGCATAAAGACTCAATTCACGGTCCGAATGTGCAAAGAGTGAAAATTGGTGAGTGTAAGAGAAAGATTGGTTTGGTTTTTAAAAGAAAATTAGAAATGGAAAAGGAAAAGGAATCATTTCTAAAGCTATTGTGGGATATTTGATATTGACATTTTCCAATTTTCTCATTTTCCCTCGCTCCTTTCCCATTGCCAAACTTTAAACTCAAATATCTTTGTGTTGAACTATTCAATTGAAATAGTTTTTCTACCAATCAATAGAGAAAGACTTGACGCATCTAATGATACCAAGAATGTTGAAATTGAACGCCCTAACATCTAGATATTTGAGCTCAAAGAGAGATTGCCAATGGCAAAATCATTCACATGAGCCCTGCCATTGACAATCCAACTTTGAGCTCAAATATCTTAGTATTCGGCTGTTCAATTGAAATAGCTTTTCTACCAATCGATAGAGAAAGACTTGACGCATCTAATGATACCAAGAATATTTCAATTGAACGCCCCAACATCGAGATATTTGAGCTCAAAGTTAGCCTAACGGCAAAAAGGGCCAGACGCGTATAAAAGGCTTTTCTGTCTCCGCCCCTTTTGCCAATTCAACTTTGAGTGCAAATTTCTTGAATTTGGCTATCCAATTGTGAATAGTTTTACCATTGACAATCCAACTTTGAGCTCAAATTTCTTAGTATTCGGCTGTTCAATTGAAATAATTTTTCTACCAATCAATAGAGAAAGACTTGACGCATCTAATCATTTCAATAATATTTCAATTGAACAGCTTAACACCAAGAAATTTCAGCTCAAAGTTAGATTGCCAATGGTAAAACTATTGAGCAATGACAACTTTTCCGTTTAATCTTTTAACCGTTCCGCTTTCAGGAGATCCAATCTATCATGTTTGGGAGTGTCCCACTGACGCCTTTGCGATGTTGATCCACTCGTGTGTTGTCTACGATGGACAAAGCGGCACACAAGTTTCAGTTGTTGATGAGAATGGGTAAATGTTAGGAAATGTTAGGAGATGTTAGAGAAAATAATATCATAGAACAAATCATACAAATCGTAGATACAAGCTAAACCTAGCAAACTTGAAAACCTAATACTTTTTTGACTTTAATGCATTAATGCAGATTTGTAAAAAGAAAAACCGGATAGTAAACCTTTTACTTAGCTTCAGTCTTTCAATAATAATAATAATAATAATAATAATACTTTATTCAAACGATAAAGTGAAAGAAATCATAGAGAAATGCACAGTGATACTTAATCATACAATACATACTGAAATCAATAAGCCAATTACTTACGGCAAAGAGCCACTAGATCTAAAGCATCGATACGTTTCTTGAATATGAAAAGCGACTGAATTTCTCGTATGTCGTTTGGGAGCAAGTTCCATAATCTAGCGGCTCTAACGGGAAATGAATTTGATAAAGAGGCATTGGAAGCAAAGGGAATTTGCAAAAGGAATGAGCCACTTCTGGGCCCTGACCGCGGTTTAAATTTGAAAAAGTCTATAAACAAAGGGCTAATCTGTTTACTACGGAGGATTTTGAAAGTTTCGACTAAATCGTTTTTTTTTTCAATTTCAGTCTAATAATTTTCTAAAAGCTGCGTCTAATTGAAAGAAAAATGAAAGATAACCAAAAAAACAAATGAACAACAGTTGCCTTATATAGGCTTTAACACAAGATACTCAGCTAACAAGCTACAAAACAATAAATGATCTTACGCTACTTTAAAATGAATGCGCACCGCTTTCCTCAATATTTTTCCAATTTTTAGGCTGCCAGAGTTAGGTAACTTTTTAGTGGCTATTCGCCACAAATTCATAAATAAATAACAAAGCAAGTTAGGAAATAAATGAAAAGAAATGAAAAGAAATGAAAGAAATGTTTCCAGTTGCTCGATGGATCCCTTCCTAATGCCCGAGCTCACTTACACCGACGATTTGACGAAAACTTACACGGTACCCTTAAATCCTACATTCTACAATTATCTAATATTTATATATCTTTAGCCATCGCATGCCTTCAACTTTCCCGACATTCAACAAGTCTACTTCAACTGCAAGATCAAGCTGTGCCCGCGAGGCCCAACCGGCGAGAACGATTGCTCAGCGATTACAGTATTCTTTTGTTATTCATAAATAAATATCTTTATCTTTAAAAAATCGGATTAGATCCTGAAAATGAGTCAGTATTTAGCCGCCTCGCTGTGGTGGCGCCTCGAGAACGACCAGCTCGATCCAGTCGGCTATCGACGAGTTCAATCCGCACAAATGTAAGTTTGAAAAGATGTTTTGAAAAGAGATCAATCTAATCTTGATATTTAATATTATTCTATAAATTTCAGCTCTCACTGAAAGCCGAGAGAAGGGAGATAGTGCGGAGACGCGGTCGCTAAATGAGGTCATCGAAAAGGAGCAACTCATTCCAACCGTTAACTCTGAAAGGGTAACAATTTTAGATTATAGCTTTAAGTAGCTAAGTAGCTAAGTAATAGCTAAATAGCTAAATAGCTAAATAGCTAAATAGCTAAATAACTAAATAACTAAGTAGCTAAGTAGCTAAGTAACTAAGTAGCTAAGTAGCTAAGTAGTACTCAGATAAGTAGATTTAATTGCTATAAACTTGTCTTACTTGTCTTACTTGTCTTACGCTACTTTAGACAACCGCTCATCTGCCGACTCAATCAACGCATGTGCAGACGACTGTTCGTGACGTTACTGAGGTAGACTGAGTCTCTAGACTTTATAACCTTATACATTAAATGTAAATTCGGGAATTTTAGGGCAAAACAACGGTGATCATCTTCCAAACGACGACCGTTCTCCCGCCAACCACCAAACCACCGACAACAACAGGTTTCTCATATGATTTATTCCGATATCTAATAGGCAAATATTATTTTTAAACCTATTACTCTACATTACTTCTAATCTTTCATAAAGTAAAGCACATTAAAAAAATCTTCTAAACAAATTAGCCGACTGGCCGCCGCCGCCGGGATTGAACCCTTGATCTCTCGACTAACATACACGGCCTCTAGCCAGTCGGCCATGACAACAGAAACGACTCGCTGGAAACTAGCACTTATTAAAGCTAGATTCAAATAATAAGCTTATCTTTTAAACTCTTCAATTAAGCAAATACAAAGCTGAACTGAACCAGAAATTTAGATTTTTGAAGTTTTTAATTTTTGGTAAATGTCGAAAAAGAAACTAAAACTCTACAAATTGAAGAAACATACTGTAAACGATAAATGACTATTTTACAAGCACAATTTCTTTACTAACGCTTAAATTTAGTGGTGAGAGCTGAGCGCTTCCCGACACCGGGCACACTGACCGGCTTTGGAAAGCATTACAATGGAACTGAAGTCATTGATGAGGGAAGTGGATTGGAGATTGGCGCTGAGGTGAGGAATAGATTCTAATAATTTAGAAAATTTAAACCCAAACACAACCCAACTTCAGCACGATTCCCCGTCGATCAAAGTACTGAGCAACGATCGAAAACCTGGGAAACAGGGAAAAGCTAGAGAAATCAAGGTGAGAGCTTTCATTTGAATCATTTAGCTAAAAGAACTATAAAGGAACTATAAAGGAACTATGAAGGAACTATAAAAGAGCTATAAAGGAACTATAAAAGAACTATAAGGAAACTATAAGGAAACTATAAAGGAACTGTAGAGGAACTATAAAAGAAACTATAAAGGAACTATAAGGAAACTATAAAGGAAACTATAAGGAAACTATAAAAGAACTATAAAGGAACTGTAGAGGAACTATGAAGGAACTATAAAGGAACTATAAAAGAACTATAAAGGAACTATAAGGAAACTATAAAGGAAACTATAAAGAAACTATAAAGGAAACTATAAAGGAACTATAAAGGAACTATAAAGGAACTATAAAAGAACTATATAGTTCAACAAAGCAATTCGCTTTTATATTTAATATTATAATGATTTCGAGTTATAAATTTGACTCCTATGCTAACATTTTTCGATTTAAAGCCTATTTTTGAATCCAAATTTGACTCTTATCTTACAATTTTTGTTCAGCGAAGAGACATCGTCGAGATGGACGTCGCCTCGCCCGAGTTGACTGTTTTGGAGAAAGATTACGGTAAGAGGGGAAATAAATATTTATTCTACAGTATTCAATTATCCAATTCGAAATCCCTTTCCAGATTTACCTGAACCATTGAGCCAACAATCCCCATTGCCCACTCCTCCACCATTAAACGCCGCTCAAAACAGCTCCTCCGTTTGTTTACCTGTTTTCTCGCTATGGGCGCTGGCTTTGTTGATGGTTTGTTAACTAAATCTTTCAGATATAAGTTAATCTTAGAATTGAACTCTTTAAACTTTATGGAATCTAATTCCGAAGCCAATATGATAAGAGACTGTTCGATTTTTCCAATCCAATCTAAAAGACACCGTTGATTTTGGGTTATGATAGCTTTTCACAATGAAACGAACTAGATTTCTGAGAGGAATCGAGACTACCGTAATCATTGGCTACAGTAGAGAGAAAACTACCGTAATCATTGACTACTATAGACAGAAAACTACCGTAATCATTGACTACTATAGACAGAAAACTACCGTAATCATTGTCTACTATAGACAGAAAACTACCGTAATCATCGTCTATTGTAAACTGACGGTTTGATTACTGTAGTTTTACAAAATGAGTGTTGCTTTTATTTTCCTTTTAGAAAGCTCGTTGACCAACAGGTTGACGTTCTAAATCTGTTGAAGAAATTACATAAACTTCTCTTCGATTTACAGTAATTAGAAAATCTTCTAATTAGATCTTCTAATTAGACAGAGAAAATCTTCTAATTAGACAGTAATTAGAAAAGCTTACTAAAGATATATCCAACGTTATCTATTAGTCCATATTACTACTTTCAACTATTTTAAATCTTAATCTCGAATTTCTTTAGGTTCTCTGCCTTTCCCTATTGACGGTGGCCATCTGCAGGACGTGCGCGAGAAGGGATAAATTTATGCCTTATTAAAAATATCTTCATAACGATTTCAAAATATCTTCATAACGATTATCGAAACTTCTTTTATCTAAACTTTTCAAATTATCCAAAACACTTTGTGCTCAAATTGGTGCTCAACCTTTCTAGCGCCTCAATTCGTCGCTTTTTTTCTTGCGACAGCGATCGTTAAAATGAGAAAACGAAAGGAATTCAGTGCACGAGAAAGGTGCGTTTACAAATTTGAGCACAAAGCAACACCAGAAACATCAAATAGTCTCTTTTAAAAGGCTTACAAAGTCGGAAACTCTAAAATGTTATCAAAATTTTTACAAAACATATCCAAAAATTCAAATTCGCTTTTTTCTGAAAGATCCTTTCCCCAGATCTAAGGCCAACTTGCCTATTTTTATTTCTCAAAGATCAAGAAAATCTCACTCGTTTTACATTCCATTCATTTCATTCGATTTCATTTTATTCAATTTCATTTATTTTTCATTCATTCATTCTTCTTTTCGACTCTCGTCTAAAATACGGTTCGCTGAGAACACATTCCAAAGTTTTCTTTTTTTTTGTCCTTTTCTTTGTATTTTATGTAAGCTTGAATCGATTTTTCTTTAAATTTAACTGGGCTTGGGTTCAGGGATGTCTGAATCTGGATCTAGATCCAGATCCAAATCCAGATCCAGATCTAGATTCAGATCTAGATTCAGATCCAAATCCAGATCCAGATCCAGATCTAGATCCAAATCCATATCCAAGTCCAGATCCAAATCCAGATCCAGATCCAAATCCAGATCCAGATCCAGATCCAAATCCAGATCCAGATCCAGATCCAGATCTAGATCCAGATCCAAATCCAGATCCAAATCCATATCCAGATCTCTACGCAAGCATACAAAGAATGGAAAGACGACTACACAAAATTACTATGAACTGTCTATTGGAGTGTCGCGTATTCGTCTTTTCGTTCTTTGTGTTGTTGTGTAAAGATCCGGATCCGGATATTCCTGCTCGGGTTACGGTAGCTGGGCACTGTTTAGACTTGTTACAATAGCTCTTTACATGCATCGGCTTATAGCTAGACACTTCTAAAAGCGCTATTCTGCCTGCACTGGCTTACAAAAGCTGATTACGATAGACTATGAGCGAGTACTTTTGACTGTAACTCGTATTTATAGTACTTTTGTCTAAGTTTACGGTAGGTGAGCAGGCTTTATAGCTGCAACTACTACTTTACCTAGCGTAAGCCGTAGCCGCAAGCGTAAGCCGTAGCCGCAAGCGTAAGGCGTGACCGCAAGCGTAAGCCGACGTCTTGCTAGCGCTTTAGATGTCTAAGGTTACGGTCGCCGGTATCGTTGTAAAATATTGTAACTTATTAGATAAACTTGCAATACTTTACAATAGTTTACAATACTTTTCAATAATCTAAAAAATTATCCAATTCTCTTTCAATAAGCAAATCGATTCAAGCTTTTTTGTTGAAATGATTTCCAATTTTTTTTTTCTTTTTCTATTTAATTTTTCAACCAGAATACGAGTGACTAAGCACCAAAATGCAATGCCTTATTTGCAATATTCTTTATTATAATTATAACTAAATAAATAACTAAATAACTAAATAACTAAATAACTAAATAACTAAATAACTAAATAGCTAAATAACTATTCATAATTTCTTTTCAAAAATGTGCAAGTGTTGCTTTTATTTTCTTCAGTTTTTTTTGATTCATTTTTGTTTAATAAATGTATCGAATAACATTATTGAAAACTAAAATGATAAACTAAAATAAGCACCAAAATGCAATGCCTCATTTGCAATATTCTTTATTATAATTATAAATAAGTAACTAAACAACTAAATAACTAAATAGCTAAATAACTAAGTAATTAAATAACTAAATAACTAAATAGCTAAATAGCTAAATAAATAGCTAAACCACTAAACAACTAAACAACTAAACAACTAAACAACTAAACAACTAAACAACTAAACAACTAAACAACTAAACAACTAAACAACTAAACAACTAAACAACTAAACAACTAAGCAACTAAATAACTAAATAACTACTAATAATTTCTTTTCAAAAATGTGCAAATGTTGCTTTTATTTTCTTCAGTTTTTTTTTGATTCATTTGTTTAATAAAAAATGTATCAAATATTGAATATTGAAAACTCAAATGATAGATAATCTTTTTATATAGCTAAATAGCTAAATAGCTATATAGCACGTGTGGCTGACTGGTTAAGTGTCTTTTATCTTAATCGGAAGGTCGAGGGTTCGAACCCCACATGCGACATGGTCACCCCCTTCGGATTTCCTTTCCCTTCGGGTTGAGAGGTTTTCTGGAGGGCAGTCTGGTGGTTGTGGCCCCAGTTCTTTAAAGTGACAAGCCACTCCTTCATCGTCATCTTCCCTTCACCACCAAAAAAGCTATTTAGTTCCCCATTGAGCTTAGGGTTAGGGAGCCGTCTGTCATGACGTGGGTTAAGTTAAGATATAGCCTAGTATTGTGTGTGTCGTTGTATTGTGATTGATATATTTCGTGTATGCGATAAATTCACCACTGGTAGCCCCAGTCGGTATTTTTTAGTGTACATCTCAAGCAACTAATTACTTAAGTAACTTAAGTTAGTTTCTTTTTCAAGTAACTTTTACTTGAGTAAGTGTCAAGTAAAAAGTCAAGTAATGCTTCTTTAGAGTTTTTTGTATAAAAGAAATCAATCACTTTACTCAAAAATCAATCAATCACTTTACTTTATAAACATTTTACTGCTAAATTTTAGCTCATTTCACTCTTTAAAACATTTTTTTTGTTTTTAATAAATGTTTGCAATTAGTCTTTATCAAAAGTAAAAAAGAATTCTTTTCTGAAAATTGCTGACTCTGTGGCTACGATCGAATCAATCGCTCGTTTTAAAAAAGCAAACCCACTCAGCGATTCGGTCATTGTAACATCTAGAAACTAAATTACGATAGCCGTGCTTCTAAAGCACTTGGAAAAGTTTCTCAATTCAAAACTATCGTAATTTTGCCCTCTAATTTCTAGCTAATTTTTTTACTTTTTATATAAAGATACTTTATTCAGGACCTGAGATAAAGTGCGCTAGATTTAAGGAGATTAAAACACATCAATTCATACACATAACACGAAATGGGCCGATAAAAAGCAACACGATATAATATAGGTATATGGATAGCAAAGATAACGTCAAGGATCCACTAGAGCTTCAAGATCAAGATCATCTACAGATAATTTAAAGGTTTCGAGACTATTGGACTCTCTGGGGAGTCGATTCCAAATTCTGGGGAGTCGATTCCAAATTCTGGGGAGTCGATTCCAAATTCTGGCAGTTCTTATTGGAAAAGAGCTATACACAAACTTATTGAAGGTGACTGGAATTTCTAAAACGAAAGAACCTCTCCTTGAACTAACTGTGGGATTAACTTTGAATAAATCTCGAAAAAGAGGGATAGGTTGCCCGTCCTTTACAATTTTAAAACATTCTATTAAATCCGTGACTGTTAAATATAGATATATGGGTAGCAAAGATAACGTCAAGGATCCACTAGAGCTTCGAGATTTGATCAAATCTTTTGTTTTCATTTTATAAGGATAGATAGATTGAATCAAAGAATGAATCTATAAAAATAAATAAATTGGATAGAACTAGAGACAAGAAAAGTTAATGTCTTATCTTTAGTTAACTAAAGATAAGACAAAATAATCGAGAAAGTTAACACGTTTTTTGAAAGTGATTTGCTTGAAAGTGATATCAACTCTGTTTTGGTGGTGCGCGAAGAGCTGAAAATTCGTTTTTTGATTAATCCTTTTCATTCTATTCCAATTCAAGTATGAAATTTGATAGAATTGACCTATTTGATAATTTGAATTGACCTAAGCGCTCATTTTCTCGGTGAAGTGAATCGCTTTTTGATGTAAAGATTCTTATACAGTACTCTTCATTAGCTTTATTTATTTATTTATTTGTTTATTATATTTATATTTATTTATTTATTATAATTATATTTATTCGTTATTCATATAGAATTTCTAAAATTATAAAATTAACACGAGAACTTTACAGAACTTTATTATATTTTTATTTTTATTTTTATTTTTATTTCTATTTCTATTTATTTATTATTCTTATACTTTTTTTCTTTAGTTTACTTAGTTACTTTGTTCTTTAGTTTACTTTAGTTTACTTTAGTTTACTTTAGTTTACTTTAGTTTACTTTAGTTTACTTTAGTTTACTTTAGTTTACTTTAGTTTACTTTAGTTTACTTTAGTTTACTTTAGTTTACTTTAAAATCTCTCTTGTCCAGTATTAAATAAAAATCTCAAGCCCCGATAGCTTCATTGAAGAATTGACGAATATTTCTCGTATTATCAGCGGACTTTCAAAGTAATTCTAAATAATGTTCTTTCTCCCTCTTTTGATTGTCCTAGCGGGGTTCCTCAGGGTAGTATTCTTGGTCCTCTTTTGTTTACTATCTATATTAATGACCTGCCTAACTGTCCTTTCAAATCAAAAAACTCCTCCATCTGGCTCTATGCCGATGATGTTAAGCTTACGTTCAAAATTCCCATCGGAACTCAAGTAGCTTCGCTTGCGGCTGTAAAAGATGCAAACCATGACTTAGAACTTATTAATTTGTGGGCCAAAACGTGGAAGCTTTCCCTATCCCCTTCAAAATCTCAACATTTTTCCACTGGTAAATTTAGTTTCTCTTTGGTAATTAACAATATTCCTATCAATTACATTAGTAAATTAGATTTTGTTAGAGATTTAGGTGTCCACATCTCTCCCCCTTTTAATTTCACTAAACATATTGAAATCATTTGTCGAAAAGCTTCTTTTGTTTCTAGCCGTATTCTCAAATCAATTGTTCATCCTAACCTAAACTCTTACCGCAAATGCTTGACGACTTATATCCGGCCCATCTTAGAATATGCTTCTATTGTTTGGTCTCCCCGCGCACAAGTCTTTATTGAACGCTTGGAGAAAATTCAGAGGAGG